CGTCAACTTTTTCAATCGATTTTTAGACCTACTAAGTACAAAAAATTATGAAACAAGTTTGAGTAAATCAAAATCACTCAGAAACAGCCTTTAAAAATGACAGTTTTGGCTGATTTTTGGTTGTTCTTTCATCTTCGAGGTATAAAAACATAACTCTATGCTGTTGATTCAGGACATAATTTGAGTCGAAACGCCGAATAACCTAATACAAATTCTTGACTGTAAATCCTAACAATTTTGTTTTATCCTATAAAATAATACATTCATCAATCATTTTCCTGAAAAATTTTTAAAACATTTTGGTGATTATTGGCTTTTACAAACAAACACCCATATCTTACTAAGCTAAGGTAAATTCCAGTCCAATGAAAAGTTCAATGTTTATTCAGTGAGTTCATTCTTTTTTTTTTTTTTTACACTGATGAATTAATTTATTACATACTATAATAGACGGAATATTTGGCTTGAAGAAGAATTAAATGACTGAGAATTTAAAAGACTTTACAATGCAATACAAAGTAGGGGACATGCATTCTGAATATCTATTGGAGGTGTAGCATCAAGATATTTTAAAAAGTAATCTGCAATTGTAGGTCAGTATAATGAAGAAATGCGTAGAGCTAGGTCGAGGAAGAACAAGATGTAAATGGCAAGATTGTATTAGGTCATGGATCATAGATTTGGGTTTGCCAGAGTCCCCACATAACACTGCGCAGTTATTACTGACTCGTTTCTTCCATTAAGCATAAGGTCGTTCTGTTTAAAGCAGTCGCCAGGGCAGAGAGAATGAAAGAAGAGAGACCTCGCCTTAAAGAAAGGAATGAAATGACCATCCGGAGAGTTCCGCTCCCTGGTCAGGTGAGGGGACGCATCCGCTAGGGCACGCATTGCCAGGCGGATCGTGAATCATCCCGGGAGACCGACATCTGCCTCCCGATTGCCAGGGTATTGGCCAGACTGATGAGTCATTCAATAATAATTTTCCAATCGTAATAAAGGAATAAAAGTACTGAATAAAGCTGACAACATTCCACGTCAATCCTTACATGAACACGAATGCTCGAAAAGAAAACAAGAAAATATTATGATACGGATCATAATTCAACAAATTTAATAGAGGCGTTATAGAAGAGGGATTTGTATTGTGATAAACTAGAAGTTGTATTAACTGATAGAAATTTGACATATTAAAGATAAGTCAACGGATGGAAGCAAGTTTACTATACAAGCTTTGTTTAGATACTTCAGATTATATTTTTATGGAGTGTTCTGGCACCATTCAGCACTGTTGTTGCAACTCTACAGTCCCAACTAGAATAAAATGTACTGTTTCTTGGTTTACAGCAGTGAGAATAGGTGATTTGGCCGAGATAATGCTTAACTGTCAGATTTGTTCACTTAATAAATTATTTAATTAACAGTACCCAATTTAGAGAGACTAGGTTTGCCCCAGGTACGTCTCACCAACCCAAGGTCGATCCAAGGTTGATGCAACAGTATAAATAATTATCAGCCTGAGCCGGACCCGAACATGGGAGCTTGAACGCAGGTTAATTGCACGTAGTGTCTTCCTAATATTAAGACTGGCTTAAGATAAAATCAAGTAACTGAAAAAGTATTTCATCAAAACAGTAAATAACTAAATATATTTTTATTGGTGGTTTCAAAAATAAAAGTAGAAGCTAATCGATAGCTGTCTTCTTTCATACCAAACATGATCCACTGCTTGTCACACAGAGTAAGCAACAGGAGTACATAAAAAAAAAAAAATTAAAATTTCAACATGTCTTGGGTCTTGATACGTATTAATCATTATTGGGAAGAGAAGAGAGGAAGGGAAAATCTCTATAATCTAGGTTGTTAATAGCTATAATAACTAAAGATGTTACATTAACTTCTTACGTTATCATATATAACAGAAACGAAGGGGAAAAAACAAATAAATGCTTATTTTTTATTCCAGTAATTAAAAAAAAAAAGTCCTGTGGCGAGTCTTCCCACGCCTAAACGAAAATTAACAAGTCTATTGGAGTCAAACATTCAATTAGTTCTATTAGTTCAAATGAAGTCACCTCCTCCTCCCCATAAAAAAAAATATATATTTCTTAAGCAGTTTTGTACTATGTAATATTTGAATTTTCGATTCAATGTTAAAACAGTTGGTTTGCTGATAGACTAAATTCAATTGTTTTAAGACGTTTTGTATTTTTTTAAAAATTAATAACAAGTGGCGAGAACCCCTGAAGATCAGCCGATGCCCCTGCAGATCGGTGCCCCGGAGCGGCCCTAGTGACAAAACATTTGAATTAACGAAAAACCTTCATAAAACAAATAGTCTTTGTTCCCAGAATAAACATACGTTGTTATAAACAGTCTGTGTCTTTAAATACGATGAGTATAAATAAAATGACATGCGTAGATTTTTTTTTTTCTTAATTTTTCTATTCACACCTCTCATTGACGAAAGTGACAATCAGTAAATACGCTGACGCTCTATTTCAGGCATAAGTGTAGTATCTAGCAGCACCGGTTCTTTCCCTTAATTCGGGAAAAAAGGTCTCTCGTCCTATTCCTTTTTTAGTCGTCTATCAATGGACATATCAGTCTCAGTCATATCGTTAATCAGTTATGACCATGAAGTTTAGCATGAAAATGGGAATAAAGAGTAAGCATGTGTTGGAAGACAGTTGCTTGCTATTAGACTTAAAATTTTTGAAGAAAATGTAGTTTAAATTTAAGCACACCAAACTCACATCAAACTAATATTTAGTAATCGGTTCCAGCAGGGTGAGATAAACTGTAATGTCAGAAGCTTGAAGAACGCTCGCTGGAGTAACTTAGTGACTCAGTCATGCTCTGAAACCTACTGTTAATAAATGGAATCACCTCATGTGAAATAAGCAAGTCATATACACGCACTTTCGGGTAATTAGGCAAACCACGAAGGATTCATAGTTCGTGAAATTAGCTTTTCGTGTACACGCACTAGTCTCTAATAACGAACGAGCAAAAAAAGGAGTGTCAGGCTACGAAGGAAGTGTCCTCCGCATAATAAGGCTTTTATTAAATAGACACAATTAAGCGAATTGACTTAGTAATTGTTCAAATACTAGTAAGGTTAATCTTATCTTGCGTAAACCGACAATTGCGAATTTATACCAATTAGTTTAATCGCACAACCGCTTTGATAACGGCATATTTGATGAGCCTGTTGTCAAGTTCTATATTTTTGCATTATAATCATGAAATATGTATTTCACATCGTGTTTTTTTTTTTACATTCAACCGAAAAAAATGATAAGAATGGTCGGTATTTTTGATATCGAATTGGGAACCAGGAAAAATTATTTTAAAAACTCAAATCAAGAACATGGTTAACTAAGGTCAATATAATTTTCCAGGATGCATCCAAAGCGATTCAGATATTTAAATCTACTAAATTAATTAACATAAATATGTGAATTTTATTAATCCGTAGTTATACTTGGAAGTTGGAATTTATTAAAAAACAATAGAAGGAGCAAGCATGAAATATGATTGGTAATTGCATACAACCATTCACCTCCTTTCTCCCCTCATCCGGAAAAAATACATACATTTTCCAGTAATAAGCAGAAAGGAGTAATTATGTGTATCTTGAGGTATGCGTCCCCCGCCTGTAACCAGAACCTCTCGCACCGACACAAGAGTAAGTTGGGGACAAGACAGGGAACGGCTTTGCTGCGAGTCACCATGGCATATCGGAGCGTATCTCATGAGGCGGTGCAGGTCTTAGCAGGAGTGGTACCTCTCCACCTCTTGATGCGTGAAGTCATGAAGAAACATAGGTTTAAGGTAAATAGCATAGCAGGTCTGCTGGGAAACCTTAAAGTGAAAATTGACGAGAACCATCGCAAATGTAAATACATTATACGGGAAGACACAAGGGAAGAAAGGAACACAAGAGTGGTTGATAACCCCATAAGGATTTACCTTGAAGAAGTACTTCCTCACCGTCCGGTCACGTTCAGAAGCAAAGAGGGTCCTCCCGGACTACTGGCTCACGCAATTTCTTACAGGCCATGGGGGTTTTCGAACAAAGCTTCATTGCCATGGGATAGACATCGACCTCCTATGCTCCAACTGTGGTGTTCCGGAGACTGCTGAGCACATCATAGTCGACTGCACCGCCTTTGAAGAACTAAGGGCAAAATTACTAAGGGAAATCGGTCTCTACATTCTTACAGAGAACGATTTCCCCCAGTTAGTCACTGCGCAAAACTATCCGTATTACAAAGATTTTGTGTATGGGTGGAAATCCGCGGTGGGCTTAGCCCATTTTAATCTAAGAAGAGAAGGAAGAGCTACTTGACCATTGGTATGAAAAGTATAAGAAAATCTATCAAGAAAACCAATGAAATCAAGAAAGAGCAGAAAATCAAGCTCTACTTGCAGCAGTGAGGTGTTAAGCTGTCCTGCCTAACATCTTACTATTGCAGACACCAGTATTGCCTACTAGGCACGGCAGGGTTTAAAATAAATAAATAAATAAAAAGGTAATAAGCAGAAAGCTTAATTTTAGATATCAAAACAATAAATCTGAACGTTGAACTGAATTAATTAATTATGAGGTTTATGTCGATTATATTTTAATCGTTGGATTGAAAACTAGATTAGCAATTCGTAACAATAGAAAACTTTAAATTAGAAACAAATTGGAAATTAATCGTTACCATCATTCCCAGATTATTTTAAAAACCTCGTGGGGAAAATAAAGTTCAAACTTCAGACCGAATAATAATTTCTTTACTATTTTAAATAATATTCAAAAGAGAGATATAATATTAACCTTATTTGTTTATGGTTTGTATAGTGGTAGACGTATCCAATTCCATTTATCCAATGATATCCGTAAACAATTCTGTTCAACAGTACAATGTTGTTGATGTTTTTATAGGTAAACTACAAAAACATTAATAAACAACAAAATAGACAAATCAACAATAATTTATAACCAACTGATGAGTGAAAATCAACCAAGCAAAACAAAGGAGTACGCCCTAGACCTTGGAGCTACTCTTGCATCCCCAAGGGGTGTGGTCATGTGATGCTCGGGCATGTCTGTAATTTTTTCTCAAGGCACCAAAAATAAATACATAAACACTTTTAAGTCCTATATTTTTTGATGAATCTTTACTGGGGAGTTCTATATAGAATTAATACAATATTTGGAACGATATCATGAACCAAGTTATCAGAATCTGATATTATAACAAAAACATTTAATAATTAACGCGAAGTGTAGGTATAATTTTTACATTTTATACTTTTACAGGATCCAACACCATTTATTGGCCCTATAGATGAGTTAATGTTTATTTTTAATTTTTCACATAATCCACATACTGCATAAGGCATATTAAATGAATAAAACATAGAATACTGTACTAAACTGTAATGGATAGATAGATATAAAGTATGTTTATTATTAATCAGAATAACATAACAAAGATCTTACAAATATTTAAAAAATAAAGACAAATATTTTTTTGTTGATATCTATATACATATTTTTTTAACATATACGACATGGACAATTGTCCGTCCGTCGGGTAGTCGCCTTTCATGTTTAATTACACTAATTATTATTATTTTCTTTTTATTATTTTTTTCTCCATGTTACAAATAGATTAATGATAATTATATTTATACAAACAAAATTGAGAAAACATATCACTCTACGATAATACCAACTAATACTTAATGACAATACAAACAACAACAAATCTATTACTACAACGCCGTTTTAAATTGTAATATATATGTCGCTATTTAATTTTAAGGAAAAAAAAATATATAAAATGGATTTCCCTTATAAAATTTCAAGGTCAGAAGTGGTAAAGTTCAAACTAGATCGGATGTAGTCTAAAATTAGTAATTTAAATTACACGGTTCAGAGAAAATTTTTATGTTTGTAATAGCAATGCCATCTTGAAGGTAGACGGGTGTGGAATGCATTTAAAGCCCAATACAGCTGTAGGCCAGGTGTTTCCACAACGGGACAAGCCGACTCTTTACGTCGTATCCGGCCGTAAAATGAACTTTACATTCTAGAGTGCAAAAATATTGCGGGCCTATTATGTTTTTTACTAAAACAATAAATATACTTCTAATAATAGAGTAGTTTTGCTGTAACGGAATAAAAAAAAATATATATCTCTGTTTAAGTGTTTGTTCAACGGTCAAGAGTTTTTACCAGGCCACACTTTAACCACACACACATCTTAAAAAAATATAGATATAACGTCATTCGAATAATTTTATTTTATGTATTTGGTGGGTGCAGAATAGGGGCTGGTAGGCCCCTTTCATCTCTCCAAACAGAAATAGAAAATTTCAATTTTCGATTAATTTTGTATTGAATGCTCTACATTTCTACCCTAAACAAAATAATATTTATTTTATAATGAAATAACTAGTTAATAATTTATGTTATTTATTTAATATTAAATATTACAAAAATTTATTTTCCAACATTCAAACACGAATGAATCCCTAAATGATTCGGAGAAACAGTTTAATAAAGTTACTAATTATATCGTTTCATATAGTTGACTCTGGTTTGGATTCCACGTTCAACAGTATGATTCTTGTCTTCTTTAGCCTTAAATTAAAATATATATATATATATATATATATATATATATATAATTGTGACTCTCTAAGAGACAATTCCTTGAATATGGAAGTAGAAGAAAATAAACAAAGAATAAATTAAAAAAATAAAAATAAACTACCACAGCATTGTTTCCCCGAAACGAAGGGAAAACGAATCAAAACATGGGGGACACGCCTATTGTCTAGTTCCAAACCGGCCGGCTGTCATTCAATACTGGTACACAATGACCTTCCGTAGTGCTCGCAATAACCTCACTGCCGTTTCCAGCAGAAATAGTAGAACTGTGAATGGCAATGAACGTATTACAAAAAAAAAAAAATGTAAATATCGGCGTTTAAGAAATTGTAAAAAGGGTTTAAACAATAAACACAATCCTTATTGTAAACAAAAAATTTACAATAATAAACTATTTTTGGGATGTAAATTTATATATCGTTAATTTAATTTTCTCAGTATAACTGAAAATTTGGGGGTTTGTTTTCACCACCCCTAAAATAAGACTGCTTATATAATTTGTTTTCAAATATGTTATAAATTGGAGAATACAATAGGTAGGCGAACTTACCAGGTTATCGTACGATATGTGACTTATAAAGAGAAGTGTGGAAGAGGAAGATCCTGGACTCCGAACTGCACACAAGAAGGACCACTACTGGCTCAGCACTGACTGAGAGAGTACTCGCTCAGCCCCACCCTCCGATCCTGGGTAACAACACCCCCACCCCGTCCACCTTCGCCCCTCCCCTTCAACACAGATATCAATTATCAACTAGAATTTAAACGCGACTTTAAAAATTAAAAATCTATCCTAAATTACTAAATCATTGGTTCGCTGCGTGAGCAATAAGTACTTCCCATTGAGTAGCTGATATGACTTTCATGAGAAAAAACTTGGATTTTTTTATAGCAGTATCTCAAGCATTAGCGGAACCAGGAATTGATTTTGAGGAGGGAGGCATGGCTTTATTTATTTATTTATTAAATATCTGGAAAAACAATATAGGAACTATGTAAAATAATGTTTAGGTGGTAGTTGAATGCCTGATAAAAATTAATAAAAAACTGTTTTGATTTTTTACACATGGTTACATTTATTATTTGGAATGCATACGTTATAATTTGAAAAAATCTGGTGCAGGCATCCAATAATCTTCACTTACCACACTAATTCAATGTCTGGTAAAATTGGGCTATTACACAAAAGGTTTTTGAAGTAAATATTTAATGAAGCTAAACGTTAAAGAGCACATTTGTGAATTTTGATCACATTTATCATTGCAAAAAGTCTAAAAGACAATCACAGACACACAAATCCTATTTGTTATATTAATGGTAGCCAATAAAAACCTAGTAACTATATTTGCCTATTTGAACTGCAGAACTTCAGTCTCTGAGCTCTATATATAAAGAGAGATTTGAAACTACATATAATTTAATCTCTGAATAAGTAGCGATTGCAATATATGGTCAAAATTATTGGAATCAAATCTATATAGTTTTTTACAGGTATTTATACTCATATATATTCTCAAGTAAAAGTTACTAAAAATGTAGTGAAGACTCTTCATAATAGCATCAATAGGCCAAACGTTGTCACACTAATTGTAAGAGCTTTATGTTGTGATTTCAAAGAAGAAAACTCCATCATACTATTTACTCATTTTCTTTTCTAAAATGCTACTAAATGTTTTTTGGAAAAAAACTCGCCGATATAATTACATAGTTATATTTTCGGATCTATTAAACTTCAGTAAATATATTTAAGGTTATAAACATATGTTTTATTCATCCATAAAATATTTTTATCTTACATTTCTGCTTTGACAAAAGTACAATAAAATATATTTTAAACATTTCCACAGCCTCGATTCAATGGATTTACATACTAATAAATTAAAAATAATCTTTGTTAAATAAATTAGGCCATTATTCACCAACATTTTATTTATTAGCAATTTTATTACGACGTTTCGACCATCACTAGGGCCATTTTCAAGTCTTATTGAGTCCTCCATTAGATATTCATTATTACGTATTAAGTATTAATGTGTTCAGTGAAAAATTAATACGACATTAATAATGAATATCTAATGGAGGACTCAATAAGACTTGAAAATGGCCCTTGCGATGGTCGAAACGTCGTAATAAAATAGCTAATAAATAAAATGTTCGTGAATAATGGCCTAATTAATATAACAAATAAAACCTCAAGACACCAATTTTAGGAATAATGAACAGAAGAAATTAAAAATAATTTTTAAAATTTACATTTAGTTAAGGAATTTCATTATGTTATCATGTTTTTTTGTATATAATATAATATATATATATATATATATATATATATATATATTTTCGGATCTAAGTGATCGGGGCTAAATACTTAAACAATCAGAATAAGCCCTCTTTGCAAATTAGAACTCATATGTTGTTCCTGTATATACAGTTTTTATTTATTTATTGTTTTTCTGCAGACTTCAAAGGACTAATTAAATATCATTTTGCATTGATAGTTTCTTTATTTTTCTTCCATTGTAACAATCTTGAATATATATGTAATTATTTAAAACATAACCACATATCAGGTATCTAAAACACATAAATTTTTTAGTTATTATGGTATTCCCTTTTACATCTATCAGAAATATTACCATAATAGTTTTTGAAAAAATTCTGGTTCTTTGGGTTTCAATATTCATGGACTGTATCTATTGCATAAAGTGAACTAAAATGATTAAAGAAATATTTAATTTATTATAGGCTGAAGTATGAGGTGGGCAATTGATTGCTATATCTTAATTTAAATTATAATACTGGAGTTGTTAAGGCCGAATTTATTACAAATGTGTTAGTTCATTAATTTTTAATTTAATTTAATAAAACTATTACAGTTGTGGTTGAGTAGGTGGGTTGGTGTATAAATTAAATGCTTTTACTTGATGTTGTTGTCTTTATGTTAATTCCTCTTCTCCGGGTCCCGGGGCCCTTGCTGGGCAGTTCGAGTTTTCTATTACATCTTCTTCTTTAGCAAAATCAAAAGGACAAAAAAAACTGTTAAAAATTCAATGCTAAAATGGAAAATAAACTTTAAAGAAAAAAAATTAAACTAATGATTATTAAAATAAAAATGTAACTGAGAAAAAATTTATGGCGTTTATTGTTTTGATGGTTTGTTTAATAGTAAAAAAAATGTAGTGGGTAAATTCTCTAATATTTATTCAGTACTAATTTTTTCAATACTAATGTAATTTTCTACTTAATTTTAAGACGGAATTGGAAAAAAATATCCTTGACTGAGGCAGGATGTAATATTATTTAATAACAGAAAAAAATTAAAATGTCATGCAAGGAGAGGTATATAATGGGAAAAGAATAATAAGTTCGATAAATTCAACCCTATGGAGTAAAGAGATACGATTAGAAACTAAAAAGAAGATATACCATTCCTTTGTAGAAAGCGTAGCCACTTACGGATCAGAGGTCTGGACACTGACAAAAAAGATGGAAAATAAGCTGCTTTCCATGGAAATGAATTTCTGGAGAAGAAGCTGTGGCATATCCAGAATCGAGCGGATCCCAAACGCAGCTATTAGAGACAAGGTCGGATGTCAAAAGAACATCCTTCACCTGATCGGGACCAAACGGTTAAAGTGGTATGGCCACTTAATGCGGATGGATGAGAACCGCTGGCCAAAGAAAATCTATAACTATATGCCACCTGAAAGAAGGAAGCGTGGAAGGCCAAAGAAGAAATGGACAGAGGACGTGGATGAAAGCATGGCAGCCAGAGGGCTTCGTGAGGGAGATTGGATGGACAGGGAGCAGTGGCTTTTGGGTGTTGGGGATATGACTCCTTAAGTTGTGCAAAACCCAAATATAAAAAAAAAAAAAAAATGCAAGGAGAGAGAGAGAACATAAATATCCCAGGAAAAGAAAAGAAACGTTAAATTGTCATTTAACATAATATAATAAAACTTATTTTCCATGTTACTGTTCTATTTTTTACTTTTACTGTGAATTGGGTAATCATAACCATAAAGATTTGAGTTATGGTAGGATACTGTAACGAGCATTACACCTTTTTTTCTCTCCTTTCTCATCTTTTCTGCTATTCGATTTTTACCCTAGTCAGGGGAGAGAGTGTTGGACTAATGCCAGAATTAAAAGTCTTACGGAGGTTTTGAATTCGTAATCTGTATAATAAGTAATAACTGAAGTTAATGAAACTGATGGACACGCGTTGGTCCGCTCGGCCACCCCACTTCCCTATATTCTTCAAACAATATAATGTAATACCTATTCACCGATACCTGAGCCAGGATCCGGGGGAAAACAATACAGTGCGTACCTCTTCCATTTCTCTCGCAAATCAATATTTCATTAAATTAATTTTTGGCAATAATATAAACTGTATAAATAAGGGTTTTTTTAAGACGAACTTATTACAACATTATAATATCAAAAGTTTATTATTTTAAAATTAATTTTATTCTAGATTAAATCTGGATTCGCTGGACGGTAATTTGCCACTCAATCACTTCTGGATCCCACTGATGGATGTATGAAAAGGTCTATATGAGTGAAAAGAAGGCTAAGTATGGATCAGATATGAAAATACTTATCCTGTTGGATTTTCGCTCTCAGTAAGGGATTCTAGTTGCATTGATGATGCATATTTAATTCGATTCACAAGTGCAACAGAGATAATTATTTAGAGCCGTGACTATCTGGTTGAACAGCCTGAGGTGCACTATTAGTAACTAGCTCCACGGTGGCTAGCTGTAGTAACGAGCTACATCTCACGCGAGGTGTCATCGCCCGCTACATGGAAACTGCCCTGGCTTTCGGCGAAGTCGCACGGCAATGATGTCTTCACTATGGTCTGGTTTCGTGTCACAGGTCCACGCATCGTCTGTCATGTCGGCAGTTGGACTGTTCGACAGCTAAAATTAGTTATTTCCATGCCAACAATAATCCCAGTATCGTATGTACTACGGATATAATATATTATTATTATTATTATTATTTTTTTTTTTTATTATTTTTTTTTTTTATTTTTTTTTTTTTTTTTGAGTTCCGGATAATAATTATGAGCAGGGACAAAAAATTGAAAATTTACATTTACAAGACCACATGCACGAACCTTAATAACTTTTTTTTAATTAAACGTGTTTCCTTCAGATTTTAGAAAAATTTAAACAACTTTTATTAAGTCCATTAAAAAAAATGAACTATCATTATATTTTTTTTTGAAATACAAATATCATCAATAAAACAACAACAAAAATGTTAATATCAAGTGATACCCATGGAATATAAAGAAATTACATTTTCGAATATTGCCGAATTCCAAAATCGTACGATTGACCAGCGTGACAATAATTGTGTGATTATTCTTTCTACCGAAAATTAGGAAGTAGCAGAATCCAGAACTACCATTTTATTCACAAACCATGACAACAGAGCAAAAAATTTTGTACAATTAACTACATAGAAGTGATTTAGAATTTTTCTACAAGTTGAAAATCTTCGACTTACTACTAAGCACGAGTATTGTCTTCCAAAAAAGTGTTAATTAAGTGTAAATACCTAATTTTTGTGTAACAAAAGTGTTTTATCAAGACAAGATTGCTAAGGACAAAACACCAAACAAAGATTGAGCGGATTTCACCGCCAACAATGGTGGAATCATCTCAAACTGAGGTAAGTAACATGAACTTTAAAAACAGTGATATAAACAATGAAGACGGCTCCTGGGAACTGGTTATTGGTCGTAAAAG